ACTGATTGATAACTTTGGTAAGAGATTTAAAACAAGATGTAGGTTTTTTTTTTTTTTTTTTATCTTTCTTGTTTTGTTTTTAGTTTCCTTTTTTCTTTGGTGGCAGCTGGTATGGGGATCTGAACCTGACCGTGGTGTTACAAAGCTGCGTTCTAACCAACTGAGCTAACCCGTCAGTCCCCTAGGTTTTTTTTTTTTAAATGAATATTTAGACAACTCTGTTGTCTGTAGCATTGGTATCTGTTAGGCTCAACTCTGACTATGTTCAACTGCACTAATTTAGTCATCCTGCACATTTCTGGAAGCAAAGTTTTTTCATTCTAAAGTTTGTTGCCTGTTACTAAAGTGAATTCCTCTTATAATGAGTATCTTCTTGTAATAATTCCCAACATGTTTTTTCATTTTAGGGTACGGACATAAATGGATTACCAACAAAAGGGCCAGCAGAAATCTCTGATAAAAAGAAAGACTGAAGCGATTCTCGCAAAGGATCTCATTGTTTTAAAAATGGACCTGGTAATATGAAGCACCTTTGTGGTTGTCTCTGACCTTTTTCTCGAGACCACAATTCAGGATAGATAGTTCAGATATTTACTTGTTATTAATTAGGAAATACATGGTATTTATATTTAAAATGTGTTTAGTTATATTCAACGACCTCATTCCTGAGTTCCTTTTTCACTAATGTAGCTTTTATTTCTATTGTTGCAGTTTTAATAATATGAATAAATAGGTTTGTACCAGTGGACACTCTGTTACTAAATCTGTACTTAAAAATCTTTGTGCCTCTAGCATTCATTCACATGAATTTGAGTGCTCTTTGCTCTAATTTCTTAAGGCACTTCTATTCTGAGTGGAATACAGTTTTACTGTGAGACTGTTGTATAAAGGTGCTCTGAAGGGTAGAGTTTTGGGAGATGATAATGATGTGAAACATAAAGATGTAATGACTGTCCAACACAGTGGAGCAACTTACTCATGAGAGGAGTAGTAATTATTATTTATTTATTTATTGCTTTGAGGAAGATTGAAAAGACAGGGAAATAGGAGAAATTTCTTTGAAAATGAAACATCTTTTACATAAATGTCTAATGTGTACTATAAAATTCTAATCCTTGCTGCATTCCTTCTATTCCTACAAATGTATTAAACATTCAGTTTAACTTGTTCTTTTTTCTTTTAAAGTTTATTTAAATATTTAAAAGGGAAATTTTTAACCACACAGAAAGCAGACTTTCAATAGTGTGACAGGATCTGGGTAGTGGTGGGATAACAGTTACCTATTGTTGTATAATAAGACACTCCCAAATTTAGTGGTTTTCAACAACAATGACTTAACTGTTGCTTGCTGGTCATGAGTCACTCATAAGGCTGAGGACCTGGGCCTCTATTTGGTCTTTCATCTTAGGCTTCTCTACCGTGTATGGATCTGTAAATATTCAAAGATGATGAGAAATAACTTTGCATCATATTTATTTATTCCGTATGAAGCAGGAAAAGATCAGAAGGGACTCTTGCCCTTGGGTCCACAATGAAGCCCTGGGTCCTAACTAAGGCTCTGTTAAGCTATATACCTGGTCAAGTCGTTAATCCACCCTGGACTTCATTTGATATAATGATATAAATTAGTAGGTCTCAACTTCTCTGCCCCAGCCCACCTGAGGGATAAGATAAATTCCCATTGGCATCCAAAATCAGTTGATTAGTTTGGTTTTTAAGGTATAAAAACTATATTATAAAAATAGCAGATGTTTATAGTGAAACAATATAAGAGCATGTTAAATAAAAAGTTAACGTTCTTTCTCTACTCTCATTCCCTTATTCCAGCTCCACAGATGTAACCCCCATTAGTTTTTTGTGTAGCCTTCTTGCAACTTTCTGAAAGTTAATTTGTTTTTATTAAATCATTTTTTTAAATCAAATAATAACGCAAGATTTACGATGTCCCCACTGCCTTAGTCCCCAAAGGCTTTACTCATTAAGCTGTTGCTTTTGGTATTTACCTCCATATTTCTAAATAATACATATGTACTGCTGTTTTTTGACATATCAACTTTACACATTATTGACTTCCAATCATGGTTGAGATGTAGCTTACACTCCTCCTTCTCCCACACATCCTCCCTATGTACTTTTGTAAGTTTTGCTAGTTCATCAATCAGCATTTCCATCATGACTGTGCCAGATGTGTCAAAGGGAAAGCTATCCTTTGTGAATCTCTCATTAAGCACTTTTTAAAGAAGTTGTATGTTCTTTTTTTTTTTTTTTTTTTTTTTTAAATGACCGGTAAGGGGATCTTAACCCTTGACTTGGTGTTGTCAGCACCACGCTCAGCCAGTGAGCGAACCGGCCATTCCTATGTGGGATCCGAACCCGGGGCCTTGGTGTTATCAGCACCGCACTCTCCCGAGTGAGCCACGGGCCGGCCCGAAGTTGTATGTTCTGATGGTCTTTGATAGAGAAGGGCTGTGTGCTATTATTTGGGGTTCATTTCCACCTGTAGGAGGCAGCATAACCTGTGGTGGACTGGCCCCATTTAAGTACCACACTTCTGCAAAGCCTTCCCTTTTTCCTTCAGTCTCTCCTGCCCCTGTGCTCTGCAAGCTGCTTACAACACTTCTCATCCAGGTGACCTTTCACTTCAGTTAGCTGGCTACCTGCTGTGTCTTTCACAGGATGTTTATCTCCTTGCAGACAGGAACTGTCTTTATGTCCCACCTTCCACAGTGCCTTGGAGGGTACGTTTGCTAAATGTTTTGGAACTAAAAAAAATGCAGTACAATTACAAATTACCAAATGCTAAATCAACAAATTACTTGAATCTCTTCTGACACTTTGATAGCTCTTGAAAGGGCAGTTTCAGTGAACTAAAGAGCTACGTCACTAGGTGACCTAGTGGAGGGCGTGGAGGTTTGGGTCACTGCTGTTCTGTGCTTCTTTCTGTAGACATCTCCAACCCCGTTCTCCACAAAATGACAGGATAGGACAGATTAGGTCATAAGTCTCCTAGACTCATGCTTCTGGCGTCTGGGAGGTTCACCTTGCGTAATGAGACCAGCAGTGTCATTACTGTATTATTACCATCTTCTATAAGACTTTATCTAGTGTGAATGAAAACAGTATTTGCCTACTTTGGTTCAAGGGTGCCAATAAATAAACCTGATCTTGGCCTCTGAAGTCAATTACATTTCTTCAAGTCTTCCCTAGACTTGCTGTAAATATTCATACCCAATGTTGTTCGTACCCAATGTTACAGGTTGAATGTGACCCTTCAAAATTCATATATATTCGAGTCCTAACCCCCCAGTACCTCAGAATGTGACCTTATTTGAAAATAGGGTCATTGCAGAAGGAATTAGGTTAAAATAAGTTTACTAGTGTAGGCCCTAATCCAATATAACTGGTGTCTTTTATAAAAAAGGGGAAATTTGTGTGTGTGGTTTTTTTTGTTTGTTTTGTGGTTGGCTGGCACAGGGAACCAAACCCTTGACCTTGGGGTTACAAGACTGCTATAACCAACTGAGCTAAACAGCCAGTTTCCAAAATGGCTTTTTTGTCTGTTTGGATACAGACATACACAAGAAGAAGGTCATGTGAAGATGAAGACAAATCAGGGTGATCCTTCTACAAGCCAAGGAATGCCAAAGATTGCCAGCAAACCTCCAGAAGCTAGGGGGGAGGCATGGAACAGATTCTGCCTCACAGCCTCGGAAGGCACCAACACTGCCAATGCCTGGATTTTGGACTTCTGGCTTCCAGACCAATGATACAATGTCTGTTATTTAAGCCACCCAGTGTGTGATACTTTGCTATGACAGCTAGCAAACCAATATACCCAGGTTATACAGTCAGATGTAACAGCCCATTTTAGCTGGAAAGACTAACTCTGAAGGTCAAGAGGGAGTCTTCATACACTGGCATTGTTGGCAAAAAGAGATCTGAGATGTCCTTTTCCATTGTGTAAGAGTGTGGGTTCTGCAGTCAGACTACCTGGGTTTGAATCACTGCCTGCTAGCTTTGCAAAGCTGGGAAGTGTATTTAATTTCTTGGGGCTATAAAATGGAGGTGATATATAAGTACCTTGTCTTAGTCCTTTTGTGTTGCTATAACAAAATACCACAGACTGGGTAATTTATAAAGAACAGAAATTTATTTCTTACAGTTCTGGAGGCAGGGAAGTCCAAGATCAAGGCACCGGCAGATTTAATATCCAATCAGGGCCTTCTTGCTGCGTCCTCACATTGTAGAAGGATGGAAAGGCGAAAAGGGCCTCTCTAGTTCCCTAGAGTCCTTTTATAAGGGTACTAATCCTATTTATGAGGGTGGAGACCTCATGACTCAATCACCTCCCAAAAGGCCCCACCTATTAATGCATCACCCTGGGGGTTAAGTACCAACATCTGAGTTTTAGAAGGACACATACATTCAAACCATAGCATACGGGCCAGCCCGTGGCTCACTCGGGAGAGTGTGGTGCTGATAACACCAAGACCCTGGGTTCGGATCCCATATAGGGATGGCTGGTTTGCTCACTGGCTGAGCGTGGTGCTGACAACACCAAGTCGAGGGTTAAGATCCCCTTACCGGTCATCTTTTAAAAAAAAAATGACGAACCATAACATACCCATTCTAAAGGGTCCTAATGCCCATTAACCACTAAGTGAGTTAATGTGTCTGAAACTTTTAAAACAGTGCCTGGAGGCCGGCCCGTGGCTCACTCGGTAGAGTGCGGTGCTGATAACACCAAGGCCACGGGTTCGGATCCTATATAGGGATGGCCGGTTTGCTCACTAGCTGAGCGTGGTGCTGACAACACCAAGCCAAGGGTTGAGATCCCCTTACCGGTCATCTTTAAAAAAAAAAAAAAAAATGATAAAACAGTGCCTGGGATGGGTGTTTTTGACACATTGTTAACTTATTAGTTTGTGACTCTTCCTAACTTGTCCCAGCAAGAAGGAAAAAGTGATTGCTGTACTGTATCTCCTCGATAGGTTCCTCTGGCAGGGCTGCAGTGGGCAGCTTCCTTCAGGAGGAAAGCAGTCAGGAACCCCAGTGGTCTGGCTGTCCCAGACTTTCTCTCCAGGCATAGCCTCAGGGCTCAGAAAGAGGAAGAATGAGTGGGGGCTCTGTAGAGTACAGCAGGGCTCTCCTGAAGGCAAGAGGGACTAGAGAACTAGTTGTGTAGGCTCTTATCCTGTCAGGTAGGCAACACCCAGGAACTCACACTATCTGCAGCAGTATCTGACTGGCTAACAGCTGGCTTACAGGGAATTCATTATCATAGCATCACATGATAACTTAGAGGACTATTTCGGGAGCCTATTCAGTCATTTAGACAACTTAATGACTGTGTGCCCTTGTCCGAACCCTCTCATCTAGGACTCAGTTCCTCATCTTTAAAATGAACCCCTAGGACTCAGTTCCTCATCTTTAAAATGATAGGAGGGGATGGCCAGTTAGCCCAGTTGGTTATAGAGCTCAGCCTTCTAACACTAAGGTCACGGGTTCAAATCCCCATACTGGCCACCTGTGAAAAAATAAATAAATAAAATGAAGGGACTTCAGTGTTGATAACACCAAGGTCAAGAGTTTAGATCCCCATACTGGCCAGCCACCAATAAAGCAAAATGAAGTGACTTGATAAATTGCTAACCTTCCCCACACTGCTGTAACTTTATTTGCCTACCTGTTCAGCCAGCCTCTGCTTGAGCATGTGTAGTGATTGGTATCTCACTTCTCTTTCAGATAGACCATTTCCCTACTGGTAAGCTTAATTCCACTTAATCAGCTATGGTGAAGTGTTTTCCAAATCATTAACTTTTTACAGCAACCCTTTCTCATAGGGTTGTTTGGAGATTTAAACAAGATAGTGCACAGCTTGTAGAAAATAACGCATGGGCCAGCCCGTGGCTCACTCAGGAGAGTGTGGTGCTGATAACACAAAGGCCACGGGTTCGGATCCTATATAGGAATGGCCGGTTGGCTCACTAGCTGAGCGTGGTGTTGACAACACCAAGCCAAGGGTTGAGACCCCCTTACCGGTCATCTTTTAAAAAAAAGAAAGAAAGAAAGAAAGAAAATAACGCATAATGTGAATTGTTAACTATTTTTATTGATACTGTGTCAGAATGTTGTTTTTTTGTTTTTGTTTTCTTTTGGTGGCTGGCCAGTACAGGGATACAAACCCTTGACCTTGATGTTACAAGGCTGCATTCTAACCAACTGAGCTAACCGGCCAGCCAAGAAAGTTCTTATATGGAGCTGAAACCTGCATTCTGTAACTTCGAAACTTTGATCCTAATTTTGTTCATTGGCAAAACAGAAAGTAAGCCTGATTGAGCCGCCTGAGAACAGTTATATTTCTCATAAGTCTCCACATAGTCTAGTTGTTCATACTCTGTTCCCTCAGCCCTGCCACATCAGGCATGACTTCCAGACCTCTTCCATCCTGATTGCCTGTGCCAGGACAGGTTGTGATTGATCTACATCCCTCTGTGGAGGAGTGCCCAGGAGCTGACAACTAAGACACGTAAATTGACTACCATCTGGATTATGCAGGTGGACTAACATTGAAAAAGGCATGCTCTGTGCCTTACTTAATTTTATTCTCATGGCACTTTTATGAGGAGAATACTGAGGCTCATGGAGGGTAAGCAGCTTCTCCCAAATCATTCAGCTTATAAATTATGGAACAAGAATTCAACCCTAGATCTGTCTGACTCCAAAGTCTGCTCTTCTTTCTCAGGGAAGTGGAAACCTGAGCACTGTTCTTGGAACAGACTCAACACAATAATCTGGGGGCAGGCTTGGTGCTGCTTCTGGAATGTCCTTCTGTTAGGTACAGGTCTTTTTTGGCCTTTTAACTTCTTTTTTTTTTTTTTTTTAAAAAAAAGATGACCGGTAAGGGGATCTTAACCCTCAACTTGGTGTTGTCAGCACCACGCTCAGCCAGTGAGCGAACCGGCCATCCCTATGTGGGATCCGAACCCGGGGCCTTGGTGTTATCAGCACCGCACTCTCCCGAGTGAGCCACAGGCCGGCCCTGGCCTTTTAACTTCTAAAAAGAGAGTCAGCTCCCCTTCAGCTCCATAGACACATGAAGTCTGTATTTAACTTGTTGCAACGGGCCGAGCCCGTGGCGCACTCGGGAGAGTGCGGCGCTGGGATCGCAGCAGCGCTCCCGCCGCGGGTTCGGATCCTATGTAGGGATGGCCAGTGCACTCACTGGCTGAGCGCAATGCAGCCGATCTCACAAAAAGACCAAAAAAAAAAAAAAAAAAAAACTTGTTGCAACAAAGAAAAGCTTCACCACAGACCTTGCAGCAAACCAGTAATTATAAAAAAGCTCAGCCTACGAGGCTTTGAAGGACACCTGGTCTACCCATTTGGTTCCACTTTTTGACCTCATTCTCTTTTTACTCCTGTTTTTAATGTTGCAGTTTTGTGTATTTCATGTATATTTATTTGCAAGTCATTTAAAGTACTTTTAGGAAGAAAGGTATAAAAAACTAACAAATGAATAAATAGCCCCTGCTCTTTCCCTTTTACTACACCGCATCTAAACTGAACTTTCCAGAGTGCAAGTAAACTCTTTTAGCTGCCTGCCCTACTAAAGTTCACAGTAATCTAATACCTTCTATGATCTTTTAAATTTAAACCACACCCTATCTATTTCGTTTGTTTGGTCTGCAACATTAAAAGTATTTCAATTGTACTTATTTTTTGAATAGGTGATATACTCACTACGTACAAAATTTACAAGGCACGAGAATGCACACAAAGATTTCTCCCTCCCTTCCTGGTTCCTATGCACCCAGTTCCTCTCCTAAAAAGCAATCGATGTTACCCTTTCTTCTTTATCTTCCAGAGATATTCTCTGCATACAGAAACAAATACATACGTATTTGTATTTTACTTTCTGGTTTTTTTAGACAGTGCAATATGCACTGTCGGTTTTCTTTTTTCAATTAAATGTGTTAAATAAAAATTTATAGGAGGCAATTGTTCTGGACTAAGTACCTGCACTACTCCCCAGAATAAAAATCAAAACTAATTGTACTTATTTTTTGAATAGGTGATATACTCACTACGTACAAAATTTACAAGGCACAAGAATGCACACAAAGATTTCTCCCTCCCTTCCTGGTTCCTATGCACCCAGTTCCTCTCCTAAAAGGCAATCGATGTTACCCTT